GATGATTACCAAAGATGAATCAAGAAGATATTAGAATTTTCAATAACAATATCAGTTCATGAAATTGAAAATATAATTAAAAACTTACCAACAAAGAAAAATCTAGGTCCTGATGTTTTGTGAATTCTACAAGAAATTTAGAGAAGATTTAATGCCAGTTCTCTTCAAACTCTTTAATAAAATCGAAAGGAAAATGATGCTAACTCATTCCTAGAGGCGGCAAGTATTACCCTGATTCTAAAACCAGAGAAAGACACAACCAAGAAAGAGAACTACAGGCCAATTTCCCTAATGAATAGAGATCCAAAAATTCTCAATAAGATACTAGCAGACAAAATTCAACAAATCATCAAGAAGATTATAAACCATGACCAGATGGGATTTATCCTGAGAATGCAGGATTGGTTCAACATACACAAATGAATACATGTAACACACCATTATCAGAGACAAAAATCACATGATCATTTCAGTAGATGCATTGATAAAGTGTAGCACCCATTCATGATGAAAACCACATAGAAAATGGTAATATATGGTCTTCACTTTAATCTGACAAAAGCCATCTATGACAAACCAAAGGCCAACATACTAAATGGAAAAAAACTTAATGCTTCTACTCTAAAATTAGGAACAAGACAAAGATGTCCACTATCACCACTTCTTTTCAGCATAGTTCTGGAAATACTAGCCAGAGCAGTTAGACAAGAGAGAAATAAAAGGAATAAAGATAGTAAAGGAAGAAGTGAAATTATCATTAGTTGCAGATGACATGATATTCTACATAGAAGACTCCAAAAACTCTCCCAAAAGACTTCTAGATTTAATAACCAAATACAGTTGCGTGGCTAGATACAAAGTCAGTAGTTAAATATCAATATCATTCTTGTATACAAACAACAAAGTTATTGGGAGAAAGTTATGGAAACCACACCATTCATAATAGCATTTGAAATAATGAAATACTTAAGAATCAATCTAATCAAGGAAGTAAAAGGTATATACTCTGAGAAAAGATTTATCTTTAAAAATATTCTTTGTTTTAATGTAGATCTCCTGAATTAAGGCTGAAATGCAGTTTATGCTTCTGTGCAGCCTTCCCCACCGGCAGTCCTTCTCTACTCCACTTACATCCTGTGTACACCTCTCTTAAGAGTCCTGGTTATATGGAATACTACCTTATTTTTTTACTAATGCTTTTTCTCCTGGAGGGGTAAAAGGTGCTTGCAGTTAGAAGTGGGGCTTTGGTCCTTTAAGAGTAGGCACATAAATGCTGCCTTATCCATAATGAAAATGTGTTTATTGAGAAGATAGAGGCACAGGTGGATGAATGTGGTTTTAATAGGCTCCATATTGAGGGCTAGAAACAATTTGGGTACCTGGAACTAAGAGAGAGGTGGGCCTTCCTGGTAGCAGTGTCCCTGTGTCTTAGTTACTCTTCTCTCATTGCTGGGACAAATACCCGACGCTCAAAATGAAGGAAGGAAAGGTTTATTTAGCTCACAGTTACTGAAGGTTTCAGTCCATACTCATCTGGGTCCAACGCAGAGCAGCACAGAGCAGAAAGCAACCTTTCATGGCCGTGGCAAAGAGCAAGAGCCCAAGGGAGGGGTAGCAGCAGCTCAAGCAGTTAGCTTCTCTTCCCACCTTACACTATAATGCAAATTACCTGCCCCAGGGTAGGGGAAGTACTCACACCTATGGGTACTTCCCAGTATTTACCCACCTATGGGTAATCCCAGCAGTACTAAGACCCATAATCCCAGCCTTGGATCACACATAATCCCAGTGGATCATGAGTTAACACAAACTCTAGAAGTCCTCACCCCATGACTGCATGAGGCTTTGGGGGGACAACTAGACACAAACCATAACACCCTGTATTAAAGTTATGCATGTTGAGGTAATTCTTTTTATTATTTTTCCTGTACTTTAGGGAAGGGTCTACAGGGTGTTCAGGGTCTCACGACTAGATTGGATTTGTAGTGATTGTCCTGTTTGCAGCCTCCTAAGTGCTGGGATTATAGGTGTGGTCATCAGTTACCTTCTCAGTGTGCTCCCGGGGGGCGGGGCCGGCACAGCAGGCCCAGGAATCAAACCTGTGGCCCCTGTGCCTTTAATCTGCTGAGCTATTTGGCTGTCCCTGAGGTAATTCTTTCTGGGAGACTCAGAGTTGCTTTTGTTCCATATGGAAATTGCCTTTTGCAAGCCTGTAGGAGGCTCATGATAATTGGCCATAGGGGTTGCTGTCATTACTAGTCAGAGCTTAACATGCATTTGAATAGAATCCAAATGATGGCTTTCCATATAGGAAATGTGCAGCCCTGAGCTGCCAGTAGTGCACCTCTTAGTAGATGTACTGTGTTTTGCACTTACAGCCTTAACCTCTAGCTTCAAAGGAATTGAAGATGTGCTTCCACTACAAGATGACGCAGGTTAATTCCTTGAGACCTTTATGGTTCTTGACTTACATTAGAAATGTTACCACCTCAGTAGGAAATAAAAATGTGTGTGTGTATGTCCAAAAAGACACAACCTGATACTCTTAAGGAGAGTGATTCCATAGACAGACAGATTCATCCTAACACTTCTTTTTCCTAGTAGTGTTGTCCTGGATAATTCACCTGATCTTCAAATCCTTCAACTACTTCTGAAGAGTAAATTAATTGTGAGATGAGAGCACTGTGATTGGTTTTCACTAAAGTATTGACCAGATAATAACTTATCACAGAAGTAATGATTCTGTAACCTTTCACATAGATAGGAAAATTCCTAAAGATAAATGATTGTCCAGAAAACACATACAATGTTGGAAACTTTCCTTATCCCTGGGCGCGATTGCAACCACAGTAAGCTGGATATAACTGTCTCTAGGGAGGTGTTTATAGTGTGGTTACTCAGCATCAAGTCAAATAATCTGATTTGGTGGAGGTAAAATGAGATCTGAGTAATCTAAAACTAAGGGATAATTTTAAGTAAGGTGACTTATGCTAATTACTTAGAAAAAGCTCACTTCTTTTGTGCCACATAATTAAGAGTGTGTTGTACAGTTGCTTCTCAGGAAGAAAGCTGCTTTTGATTTTAAGTAAGCAAAATAGGACATGTATAAAACAGAGTAGCACTGAATGATTGAGTTTTTTTCCCCTCATATTTTGAAAAGAATCCTGGCAGTCTTACTGTTGTTCTCAAAATCTATTATTATGCATGTTGAGGTCATTCTTTGTGATAGACTCAGAGTTGCTTTTCTTCCATACGAAAACTGCCTTTCCCAAGCCTCATTTCTCTTCTTGATTTCTCCGAATCTATTTGGCATACTCCAACCTGCTTTTGGACTACTTTGTTCTTGCATCTACCTTTTCGTATTCAAATTACAAGTACTTGTCACCCAAATAAGAAGTCATTTTTGTGTATTCAGTATTTGAAGAGAGGCTGCCTACACAGCATGCTTGGTAAAGTTCTGCTGAATGAACAAGCGTCTATTGAGTAAATTTCTCCTGTATGTAATCTTCGCAAATAAATCATAACTATAAGAAACTTTTTTTATTAGCTCAGAGTTCTTGCAGCGTTCTAGCACATTGGCAACCACTATTTGTTGGATTGCCCTGTTGCCTGGCTGCTAATACCCAGTGACCTGGAAACACTTTATAGAGTGTTTATGGATCTAGTCAGTAGGCTTAAAATCTTTAGTCCTCTTTCTCCCCATGTGTCATTGAAATACTTATAACATCACCAAGTTTTTAAAAATTAAATTTAAATATTGTTAGAAAAATTAATATAAAGGCCCTCGCCATGTATAATTCTTATGTGAATGATAACTGTTTAATTCATTTGTGAATAGTAACAAAGCTTAAAATGCATATGTTGTTGAATATATGAATTGAGCAGTTCAATTGAGTATACCTGTAATACATTTGACTTGTTTTCTGCCCTTGGGCTGTTATTAACTATGAATTCTTAATTTCAGAGTTTATTCCAGGAGAGGGAGTTGGAATTACACAGGAATCCACATACCGTATTAGCTTCTCGCTTAAACTAATTAAAAAAGAACTAGTTCTGGGATTGGAACTCCCTTGGTTAAAATGTTAAAATGTGAAATTTGAATTTAAGACTTTGTTGAAGACTTGAAAGCATTTTGCCTACTCATAATTTTGTTTTTATTTTTTCTTTTTAGTTTTAATTTTGATTGCTGTTAAAACTGATATCTAAGCCAAAGTGGTGATGCTGCCTGAGGGAAGTCCCTGCAACCAATAAGTCAACAATTACATGGTAAGATTCTGTGCCTTTCACCCTTAGTCATTTAATTTCTGTAACATTGTAGTCTAGAAATTTAACTGGAAACAGGATAGCATATCTTAATATTTAATATTAAATTTTTGTATATATTAAGAGCATCAGACGGTACTTTAGAGTTTTGATTCTAATCAGCAGTTCAGGACTTTGAAAGAAAAATGTGACTTGATACATTTCATATTAAATTATTTGGTGTCTGAAAAATACATCTGACTATCTAACTTGACTTACTGAGCTGAGACCTTTACCTGGTTGTGGTGGTGCATGCTACTCAGGAGGCTGAGGCAGGCGTATCACAGTGAGTGTGAGGGTAGCCTGGCCTATACAATATGGCAGGACCCTGTCTCCAACCAAACCAAACTAATAACCAGAATCTCGTTAGTAGTGAATAGTTATAATAAATCAAGGTTTTAAAACCTTTAAAGCTTGTCAGTTTTACTGTAATTTACTCTGAACTTAATCGTACCATCTGTGGCTAAAATGAGTTCTCTGAATTATTTATGGATTTTAGTGAGGGAATAATTGAAAAGGAATGAGACTATCAGACTAGTAGGGCAAGTCATTCCTCTGAGCCTCACCTTTCCTCATGTGCAAAATGGTATCACCTGTCTTGCTTGTTTTACAGAGTTGTGCACAGTCAAATGAGTCAATAAGTCAACAATTACATGGTAAGATTGTGTGCCTTTCACCCTTAGTCATTTAATTTCTGTAACATTATAGCATGTGGAATCTTCCTCTTTTTTTTTGAAGGCTAGGGCAAGAATAACAAGGCTGTGGGCTTTTGAGATGGTGTTGAGAGAAAACACAAGGTAGTGAGAGTACTATCCCTAAGCCAAAAGACTTTTATCTCAGTCTTGTCTCAGTTTGACCTTGGACATTCATTGTACTCATTGACCATAGGAAAATTGAGTTTGGTTTCCATACTTTCTTATACATATTTATAATCTTTGACCATGGAATTAAGCTGGAAATCAATGTCTAGTATCTGGAAAATTCCCAGATATTTAAAAATCAGTGATCATGTTCTGAAAACCCGTGCATCAAAGAATAAATCTTAAAGGAAATCAGAAGCCATTTTGAATTGAATGAAAATTAAAACAATATTTCAGAGCCGTTGGGAAACAAAGCATTACTTAAGGGAAAATTTATACTGTTAAATTTAACTTATTCTTGAAAACAAAATTTTCTTTTTTTTAAAATGTATTTGGTACAGGGTCTCACTATGCAGCTCAGACTCATAGTGATCCTCCTGTTTTCAGCCTCCCTAGTGCTGGGATTACAGGCACGCACCACCATGCCTGGTCTCAGTGGCCGGCTCAGTGCACCCAGGGCCAGGGCTGGCGAGGCTAATGGTGCTGGGGATCGAACCCCATTAAGGAGGTTGTTAGTCTGCTAAGCTATCTTGCTGGCCCTGGGAACAAAATTGTTGAAATAATAGTTCTAAACTTTCTACTGAAGAATTCAGAAACTGAGCTGGTTGGTGGCATAGTTCAGTGGTATAGAGCTTGCCTAGCATGCCCAAGGTCCAAGGTTTAATCTGTAGCAATGGAGAAAAAAAAATCACAGCTAAACAGCAAAGTAAATCCAGAACAAGAAGAAGAAAGGAATGACAACAAAATTGATTAAATAGAAAACAACAACAAAAATGGTAGAAAAAAGAGATAAAATGTGAAAATGGTAGAAAAAGAGATAAAAGAGAAAGGCAAAAATATTTCTTACCAGAAAAGTAAGTGGGTGAATCACTACAGATGCTACAGATTAAAAGGACAATGATGGACTATTATAAATCATTTAATGTTCATACATTTCTGAACTTAGATAAATGGACAAAATCCATCAAAACACAAGCCGTCAAACTGCACCTAAGGAGAAATGAATGGATAACCTGAGGAAGACTTTATTTTATTTTTTTTGTGGAACCGGGGATTGAACTCAGGCCCTTGCGCTTCTGGCAAGCACATATTCCACTGAGCCATCTCCCCAGCCCCTGAGTAAGGCTTTATTAAGAATTTGAACTGGTAATTAAAAACTCTTCCACAAAGAAAGTGCTGAGCATCTATGACCTGACAAGGGAATTCTACTCACCTTTAATACTGGTCATACACAAATTCTTTAGAAAACAGAAGGAGAGAATGTGAGCTTGTTTTAGGGTATAATAACCATTATTATTCTGATGCCAAAAATATTGTTTCAATATATTATTAGTAAGTAAAAAACAGTTATGTTGTGTAAGTCTACTCATCCTAGCACAGGACGATTAGGTAGAGAAACATGGAAGATGATTTTTGTTTTTTTTTTCAGAATTGAGTAGAGGAAAAGATAATGGATCCTTGTCACAAAGTCCATCTCTTCTGAAAGGTGATTTACAGTGGTTTTATAGGCAGTTGATAATATTTTCAGATTAGTGGGCATCTTCCCACAGGTTGGATGATTCACATCTGAACCTTCCTCCGAGGCATGACATGATTTCAGTTCTGTGCATCTCAGAGACAAAGATCATTATTGCCTTATGGTATTCCTGTGGCTGTTTAGGTAGCAAGAATAAACAAGGAGGTGGAAGTACCTGTCCCTCTTGCTGCCCCTCTTGCTGATGGCCAAATTCCAGTAATGAACAAAAACATCCTGCGGCTCAGTTAATTGCATACAGACTTCCAGTTACTAAGGAAAACAACTTTAATGCTCCACTTTAGTTTCTCTCCGTCAGCTCATTCCCATTCCACATTCTGTGGGATTCAGGTCACCCTCTCAGATCTATTTCCTGCTGAATAGGGACTTGGCAAGGGTAAATGGAATGGAACCACCTTACCTGATAGGACTTAAATACTAATAGCTATTTGGTGGCAGCTTTCTCCACTTACAGTCTAGGGTAGATTTGATGTGTATTTAGTAATGTAGCACAGGCAGTATGAGATCATTTTGATAAAGTAATTTACAACCTGAGCACAGTTAGTCAGATCAAGAAATCATATCCCAGATGGTCCTGCTAGCTAAAACCAAAGGGGGTCTAATACTCCAAAGGAGGACATGTGGATTTCCTTGAAATTCTGGAACATTACTACATATTTATTCACTTGCATTTCAACATTCTCCAACCTAACTTTTTTTTCTTACCGTTCCTGTCGGTTCCTAGTCAGATGGTGATAACTAGCAAATACTTCCATCTAATTTCCAAACTTAATCAAAATATAAAACACCAAAATTTATCATAGTGCATAAACATTTAGAAAGCATCTCTTGGCTCTCAGAGAAATCAGTTGTATAATAGATAACCCTATTTTAGTCATCTTGTTTAGTAGGGAGCAGATTTTGAAGGAACATAGGTTTTGGCATCAGTCAAAACTGGGCCCAATTGTAAATCTGGACTAAAGCATTATCCTTCCTCAGAGCAGTCAAATAAAACAGAAAACAAAGGGGGCTCAAAGGCTGAAGGTCACTTTTCCTTTTAGTTAGAGGAGTTTGCTGGTTTTTCTGATGGAGCGTTCTTTCACTGGGTACAGTCCAGTTCTTGGAGTTTTGGTAGTCAGCTCCTTGTTCTCGCCACATTTTGAACAATGTTTAGTCCCTGCAGGCAAATGTTTATAGAGATTCTTTCAGTGGACTTGGAAGAATCACAGTTCTGCACACTGTCACATTATTGGTTGTTGTTAATAGTGCCAGTATTACAAGTATTTTTATTGGTTGTGTATGTATGCTAATGACATAGGGAAAAGAAACTCCCAACCTGCTAGATAGCTGGGATGAGTTTATGTTCTCTAAAATCAAAGAATCAATTTTAGGAACAATGGAGGTTAAGAGTAGAATATATTTAATGGGGAAAGAATGCTTCTGTTAAGAGACAGAAAGGGACCCAAGTGGGTTACCAAGAGACCTGCCTTTTCTAGGGATTTTTATTTTTACACAGCAAAACCATGTCATGAGGTGGATTCAAGGTGGGAGACATGGGAACTGGAAAGGTGGGCATGAGGCGGAACAAAAGTATGGTCAACCTATAGGATTACAAGTATAATTTCTCAGGTATAATAGATTAAATTTGAAACAAATGGGGAAAAGAGTCTCTTAGTAAGTGAGGCATGAATATACAACAGGGTTTTTTCCTGGAGGGGGTTGAATTAGTGATTCTGGCTTTCTCAAGGTGATACAGACCTATTTAGAATATCAATCTCTGATGTTTGTCCTTAGGGAGGTACATGGGTGTGGGTACATTTGTTTTATCTTTTGTCTTGCAGCTTGGCCCACAGCTGAAGTTTCTCTCCCAGTTGCAGGGTATCTTGTTTTATGCATTGGCTCCTGAGGGCCTAGCTGTGCATGACTGCCTATAATATTTCTATGTAATTCAGGTGCCTGCAACATTAATTCTCATTATTATAATATTCTTCATTAATAATACTAAGTTGGCTTTCCAGAATTCTGTGGGGGCAAGGGGAACTGTAGAAACTGCAGCAAGCTATGATTGAATTTTTCCAACAACATCCAGGCCTTTCTCTGGTCTAGAGAGGGAACCTTGGGCTATAGGTTAGCACCATAAACAAGTTTAAAAGAGGCAGGTGGCACCTGTGGCTGACCATTGTGTGCAATAGTGAGAACAGCTGCAAGAACACAGCTATCACTATTAGAATAGTGATAGAAGAGGGTTTTTCATACCATAAATGTGGTAAATAAAACCAGAAAAGGCCTCAGTTCAGTCTAAGAGTTTCAAAAAAGGCCTTAATATACATGGTCAGTTAATTTTTATATGTGACCCTGTTTTGGCATTGGAATCGTTGTCCCACTAATCATTCACATTTCGTAATCTTTACCAGGGCCTGGACCACCAGTCAAAGCTGTTACTGAGGCAGAGGCAGGTATTCAACTCCCACAGAGAGACTGGAATCATCCCCTGTGAAACTCTGCATTCCATCACTGCTATCCCAGATTCTCAGGGCGTCTTTCTTAAAGAGAAGATCTTCTTCATCATTACCATTAGGGTCACAGAACTC